TCTTATGTCATCCTCCCCACCTCTGCACCTTCCAGCCCCTGCTCTGTTTTTATTGACAGTGACAGTCCTTGCTTGGGCTGCCAGAACTTTCGGGTTTCTCCCTCTTGGGACATTTCTTAGCATTTTACATACAGTGGGGGAAACTTGAGACATGTGGCAACAATATTTCTCCCCCAAAAAGTGCAAGCTGGGTTACAAGTTGCTGTAAAATTGGTGACTTCTCCGAGCTCAGTGTTACTCACCTGCCAACACAAACCTACTGCATATGTAGCATTCATCTGAGCCGTGTCATGTCACCCTCATAGGACTTGTGATGTAGGGAGCCAGGGCAGATATACTGATGTTTTTGTGCTTGCCAGAAGTAATAAAGTCTTTTTTCTCTGACCCAGGAGACTTATGTCTTCTGCCTTCATTTGTGAATTAGTAACAGGCCCTTTTTTTAGCTTTTAGGTGAAATTACATGCTACCTCCTGTAGTTCTGTTTGTATAATTTTGCCTCTTTAAGTAGAGGATGCTTGCTTTTGGCTAAAACTCTGTGTGTGAATTTTCAGGCATAACCACAGGTATTTCAGTAGGTTTTACCTAGCCAGGCATGGTGCTACACACTTGTAACTCCAGCACAGCAGGAAGTTGAGGCAGAAGGATCATGAGTTTGAGCCCAGCCTGAGCAACTTAATTGCCTAAAAGAGAGGAGGACTGGGGCCATAGCCCAGTGCAAAGGCCCTGGGTTCAATCTGTTCAATCCCCAGTACCACACACACACACACAAACACCCACACACACACACCCGCCTGCCATTTGCACCGCTCCACTTGCACTGCTCCACTTGATCCTTAATCAGTGTTCTAGTCCCTGGGAGAAAATAAAGCGGGGAACGAGCTGGAACTTACTGTGGTTTGACTTTTTCTATTACTACCGCAGTAAGGGATTAAAGACAAATACTACTTTCATTTTGCCCAGCTGTGCTAAAACCTGGCCGCTTCATTCTTTGCAACTCTCCTAAACTCCTCTCACACCCTCAAATGGTATTATTTAATACTACCTGGTCTTTGAACTGACTTCCTTCAGACGATGAAAGAGTGTCTTCCTTAGAGTCTTTCGTTTTGTTATGTGTTAATAGTTGGTAGTTGCTTCTTTGGTTTTTCTTAGAGCATGTTAGTGATACAGAATGGTGAGGCTTATTTGAGGAAATGGGTCTGTGCATTTAGCATATCTTGTTTATTTTCAGTCCCACTACCCTGTTTTTTTTCCTCCCCTCTCCCTGTAACTACTTTCTCCCTACCAAAATCTACCTTCAAGTTTCCTATCATCTCTCCTTTATTTCTTTTTCCTCTCTTTTTTTTAGGTTTATCATATAAGAAACTTGCACATCATATAATGACATAGCATGACATGATTTCTTTCTTCATGACTGAGTAGTATTTCTTTGTGTATATATGCCATGTTTTCTGTACCCATTCATGTACTGATGGGTATCTAGGTTGTTTCCACAGGTTGGCTTTTGTGAATTGTGCCCTGTGAATGAGTATGCATGCATCTTTAAGGTTTGCAGTCCCTTTTTTCTTTCAGGAATATGCCCAGGAGCAGTATAACTGGATCAAATGGCATTTATATTTTTACTTTTTGTGGATTCCCCATACGGATTTCCATAGTGGTTCTACTAGTTATCATTTTACCAACAATATAAGGGATCCCCCTCTCTTTCAGCATCCACACTAGTGTGCGTTGTCTTCTGTATTCCTGATGGTAGCCATTCTGACTGCGGTAAGGTAGAATCTCACTGGGTTTTGATTTGCATTTCCCTAAAGGCTAAAAATGTTGAACATTTTCCCCATATATTTTCTGGCTATTTGTACCTGTTTTGGGAAGGTTAATTTTTTGAGTTTTTCATATGTTCTAGAGGTTAATCCTCTATCAGAAGAGCAACTAGCAAAGATTTTCTCTCATTCCAAGGTTATCTCACCATTCTGTTTCTTTCGTTATGCAGAAACTTTTTAATTTGATATAGTCCTATTTGATGATTCGTCATATTATTTCCTATGCTATTGTATTCCTCTTCAGGAACTATTTCACTGTGCAAATGGCTTCAAATGTGTCCCCTATGTTATTTTCTGACAATTTTAAAGTTTCTCGTTTAAAAAAAATTTTTAAACGCAAAGTCTTTCTACACTGCTCAGATGCCCAAGCTAGATTGGACCTAGAAATGTTTCTGCCTCAGCCTCCCAGACTGTTGGGATTACAGCCGTGCACCACTGAACCCAGCTCAAGTTCCTGATTTTATATCTGGGCCTTTGATCCATTTTTTGGCTTCATTACAAAATGAGCTGTAAGGTCTATTTTCAGTCTTCTGCCTGTGGATATACTACTGCTTTCCCAGCACTCTTTGTAAAAAGGTTTTCTTCTCTCTTGCGTGTTTTTTGGCTCCTTTCTCAAGAATCAGATGGTTGTAGGTGCATGAGTTTGTCTCTGTGTCTTCTGATGTTCTGCTGTCTATTTTTGTGCCAATACCATGTTATCTCTATGGCTTTGTACTTAGTGCAGCTTGAAATCTGGTGTTCCAGCGCCTACAGCATTGCTCTTTTTGGGTAGGATTGCTCTGACTATTCTGGGTCTTTGTTGTTTTGCATGAATTTTAACACGGTGTTTTGTAGTTTTTTGAAGAATATTCTTTGTATTCTTAGGTCACTCTTTGTAATATGGTCATTTTCACAGTGTTTCTTCTTTGCTCATGAACAAAGGAGGTCCATTTTCTAGTATCTTCTTACTTTTATTCTTCAGTATGCCCTAATTTTCATTGTAGAAGTCTTTCCCATTCTTGGTTAGGTTGCTTCCTAGGTACTATTTTGTTGTTGTTGTTGTTGTTATTTTTAAGCTATTGTTAATGGCATTGTTTTCCTGATTTCTTTCTCACTGAGTTCCTCATGGGAGTATAGGAATGCTGTTGATTTTTTTTTTTTTTTTTTCTGGTACCAGGGATCGAACTCATGACCTTGCACTTGCCAGGCAGGTGCTGTGGCACTGAGCTAAATCACCAGCCCCTAATGGTGTTGATTTTTGTGTGTTAATTTTGTATCCTGTTTTATGTTAGAGTAGTTTTTCACTATTATGATTAGCTTATATATTTATTCTAGAGAACTATTTGGATTGTTACCAGGTGTGTTTAATTATGAATAAAGCTTCCATAAATATTTTTAAAATATATGTTTTTGTTTTGACATAAATTTTCATCTTACTAGGAATGAGATTTCTGGTCAACATATGATTAATTCTTTTCTTTTTTTTTTTTTTTTTGGTTTTTTTCCGGTACTGGGAATCAAACTCATGACCTTGCACTTGCCAGGCAGGCGCTGTGCCACTGAGCTAAATCCCCAGCCCAACATATGATTAATTCAACAAGAAATTGCCAAACCTTTTTCCAAAGTTGTTGTGCTATTTTACATTGTACTAACAATATACAAAGAATTATAGTGGTTTCATATTGTCTTAATCCACTTGCTGTTGCTATAACAGAATACCTGGCTGGGTGAATTTATAAAAAAAAGATTTATTTGGCTGATGGTTCTGACACTGTGAAATCCAATATTGGTTGGCTTTATTTGGTTGGCTTTATTTGGTTGGCATCTGCTGGGGGCCTTGTGGCATTTCAGCTGAAAGCAGAAGAGACAGTGGGTGTTTATGAAAGAGGAAAAACATGAGGAATAGTCTGGCTTTATAATTCAGTTCTGTGACAAATAATCTAGTGCCACAAGTGTAAGAACTCACTCACTTGAGAAAGACACTAATCCATCTATGAGGACTCCTCCCCACGACCCAAGTGCTTCCCATGTGGTTCCATCTCCCAGTACTGCCACAGTGGCAGCCAGATTTTAGCATGAGTTTTACGGGAGGCAAAGCACGTACCACACATGTTGCTGACACTTGGTATTATCAGGTTTTATTGATTGTAGTACAGGCAGAGGAGTATGTCATTGTTTTAATTTTTACTTTCCTAATGGTGTTAGGCAGTTTTATATGTTTATATGCTATTTGTGTATTTTTCTTGGACAAGTACCAGTATATGTTCAGCTCATTTGCTCTTTCTCTTAAAATTGTGCTTATTTTTGCTAATGAATTATTTATTCCGTACACAAGATCTTTTGCAGGTATTTTGTTTGGAAATGTTTTCTTCCAGTTGAAGTTTATCTTTTCATTTTCCTAACTGTTTTTCAGTAAGCAGAAAAGGTTCTTACCAATACATATGTTTTTCTCTGATGGGTTTTGATCATGCGTAGGAACTCTTGGCCTAATTGAGTCAGAAAGATCTTCTCTTATTCTAGGTTGTTTGTTGGTTTGTTTGGTTTTGGCAGTACTAGGCCTTTGCACTGAGATATATTCCCCAAATTTTTAAAATTTTGAGAACAGTGTTTGAGTTGCCTAGGCTGGATCTGAACTTGTGATTTTTCTGTCTGAGCCTCCCAGAATGCTGAGTGTGTGCCGCTACTCTTGGCTTCTTCTAAAAGCTTTATCATTTCATTTTAGTTCTGTGATCCATTTTGAGTTAATTTTTGTATATGTGGGTAAGATATAGAACAGTCCTCCCTCCCCTCCGCACTTATCTAACTGCTGCACTGAACTCCTTAAATCTTGCTTTTTTTGAAAATCAAGTATATTCTTGTATTTCTGTTTTCTCTATTCTGTACCGTTGATATGCAAGTCTCTTGTTTCTCTAATATCATGTTGCTCCGGTTACTGCATCTTGGAGTATTTATGTTTTGTGGTCTCTAATCACATTAAGTTGAATCTAGAGGTTGAAGTTACTACATTTTACAGATTGAAATTTCTTACATCTGTGTTCGTAGACAAAGGCATATATAATTGCTCACTGTTGCTGAAGTTTTATGTAACAGACGTGTTAGAAATTACGTTTTCAATATGCAGAGGAAGATGCCAAGATGCCGTTAATGTACAGTTGTGAGTTTTGAAACGGTAATTAAAGTAGACAAAATAAATAGAAGAGGAAAGTATATGCATCTTATTTATTGTCACTGTCCTTTTCTTCCAAATATTTTTATTTTTAATGAGAATCACTTTCTTATGGTGGATGATTTAACTTATATGGCTTTTCTCAGCTGCAGAATGAGGGACATAGACTTTAGAACAAAGCTTATTCAGGAGGTACAGGTATCTGTGAAGAGTGGCAAGAAATGGTACAAGGAAAGCAAAAAATAAGGGTTGATTAGCCCAGGTATCACAACAAGTTGCTGGAATTTTATCTTGTGTGAAAATTCTGGGGAAAAAAAATAAAAATTAAAATTAGCTTCAGAATAACTCACCTAACATAGGAGAGAGCGAGTCTATTTTCTGTTCCTGGTCGTGGAATGTCCTGCAGAGGTCTGTGCTGCGCCGTCACTGTGGTGCACCTAGCGCTTTCGCAGTTCGGGGGGAAAGGGTCCCTCGGGCACAGGGATGAAGATGCTGGCTGTTGGACGTAATCTAGAGTAAGGGGAAATAGTTAAGTCTACGACAGTGTCGATTTATGCTGCATGATTTTTAGCACCACACCTGCACCATCTTAATAGTATCTAGCAAATCGTCACTATAGTGGTACTTTCTAAGTAAATTAGATTACATTTTCTAAATTTACGCTTGTCTACTTGTTATTCGAATATACAGCTAGTTTCATTAGCTTTTCGTATATTTATTTCTGTTGTCTTACCATTTAATTACCTACAAGAGTTTACTAAATATACAGTTGGAGATGTTATTATGCATTCTTTCTTCATACCATTTTTGAAACGTTAAAGGGTAAGAGAAGATATATATAAAGGCTAAGAAGCAACATAATATTTTCATTAACATAAGAAAAGTACAAATTAAAACTGCTGCATATATATATGTATATGTATATATTAGGTAAAAGTGAAACTGATTGACAGTAACTAGTACTGGTGAAAATGCAGAATGATTGTATTGTACATTGCTACTGGCAGAGTAAAGTGACACCGCTTTTGTGGAAAACACTTTGACATTTCTTTTAAAATTAAACATACATTTCCCATATGACTCAGCAACCACATTCCTGAGTATTTACCATAGAGAAAGGGAAAGTTACATTCATGCACAAATCTATGCAAATATTTATAGCAGCTTTATTTGTAATCACCCCAAATTGGAAGCAATCCAAATAACCACCAGCATGTAAATAAACTACAATGTGTCTATACAATGCAATAATACTCAGCATTATAGAGGAGTACAGTATTGATACAGACAACAGTTTTACACAGATCTCAGGGGCATCATGCTGCAAAAAGTCTGCCTCAAAAGATTACACATTACATGGTTCTAATTGTCTAATACTGTTGAGCTGCAAAAATACTCGTCTTGAAAAATGGACCAGTTACCGTCAGAGGTTAGGGATTGTGAAGTAGGTGGCGATGATAGGGGAGTAGTTCTAGAGGGCTTATTTGTGGTGGTGAAACAGTTCCGTATCTTAATTGTGGTTTTGGTTACGTGAACCTTAACCACCAACAGAATTCCAAATACAAGTTCAGGCAAAAACTAGTGAGTTTTGCATAGGGTCTGCAGTTTAATGCTGTACCAATGTCATTTCTCTGGATTTTGTAGTGGACAGGGCTGTATAATATGTTATCATAACAGGAATTGGGTGAAGGTCACATTGTAAGTATTTTTGCAGCTTCTTGTAAATAAATCTAAAAAAAATTTGGTGATCTAATGAGTCTTGCTTATGCATGTTGTTTCTCTTAAATCTCAGCTAATTCTCTTGGTAACAGCAGTCTCATGATACGTACCTTTTAAAAGTCCTATTAAGCAAGGGCTTCAAAGGCCATGAAACTAATGCATGAAAATACAGTCCACCAACTATTTTTCCTATGTCTATTACTTTTTAAAAACTTCTTCACAGGATTTCAGCCTTACAAATAGTAGAGAAATAGATTTTATTTTTAAACTAATCCACTTTCACATTAAATTAGAGGATCCTCATGATTCCTCCAGAATTCTCTGCTGTACATTAGCCCCTCACTGATCAGCAGTCGGCCTCATCGACACAAACATGCAGTTTCTTCCGCGGTGACTATTTTGTTCCTTCCCTTGGACAACTTCTATTTCCTGCTTCTCAGTTAAAGATAGCCTTTCTTCTGCGGCTCTCACCCCTGACAGAGGCTGTCAGATCTGTGTCTGATGCTGCTCTGGTAGCGTTTTCATGCCAGGCTGGACTCGTTTTACAGATCTGAAAAGAGACCAAATAAAGGGCAAGTTAATTGCTCACCTGAAGCTCTAGCTCTGGGTATAAAACTTCAGATTAATTCCTAAATCCCAAATGTATAAATAAATTATTCAGAACATGAGACCACCCAACCTATTCTAGTGATATTTAACGGAGATGTATTTGTAACTGGTAGAAGAAGAATCACTCCCTAGGTACAAGATCAATTGCCGTTCATTTTATTCACCTGAAGATAAATCACTTTCACAGATTTTGCAGACTTTTTCTTTTCGTGGAAAAAAAAATGATTTATTAAAGTGGAGGCTTCCTCACTATATCAACACTGACTTACTCTTCCTTTATCATACTTCAGATTGAAGAAAGCCAGAGGCCAGCAGGAGTCTTCTCCGTATTGCTCTTTATTTCATTGTTATTTTAAAACCAGTTGATGAAATTCTTTTCCATTTTGAAGTGCCATCTTTTACCTACATTTGGGGGCATTTAAACTGAGCTCATATTAAAGTATTGTTTCTCTTACTGCTTTTATTTGGATAAAAGATAGCATAATTTTAGGGTTCAATTCTGTTGATCTGAAATGTAGTCTTTTTCTCATTCTTTTCTTTTTATGTATATTGAGAAGGAAAAGGTATAAAATACAGTTAAAAATCCAAGACACTGTGTTTAGTGGCCAATTTATCTGCATTTTGCACATATACATTTTTTCATTTTTCTGTAAGATCTATTTGCTTACAATTCTTGTTTTAGAAAAGATAGCCTTATTGAGGTATAAATGACATTTTATACAGTTTTTTCATTTAAAAGGGTATAGTTCTATGTCTTTGCTGCACCCGTGTGGTATTTTGTTGTGTTTTGTTTTTTGAGACAAGTCTCCCTGTATAGTTCAAGTTGACCTTAAACTCACTGTGTACCCCAGACTAGTGTAGAACTCCTGGAGATCCCCCTGCCTCAGCCTCCCAAGTTCTAGGATTACAAGTGTGTGCCACCATGCATAGCCTGTTAGTATTTTTAGAGCATTTTTATCATCTCAGAAGGAAACTTTATGCACTTGAGCTATTATTCCACGCCCCTGGTTTTCTGGGTCCCTTGCAGTTTCAAGTGAATTTTACAATCAGCTTGTCGCAGAATACAGCTGGGATCCGATAAGCATCGAATTCAATCTTTAGATGAATTTGGGTAATACTGCCATTTTCACAGTCTTCTGAACTGTGAACATAGAATGATCTTCTATTTATTTAGGTCATTACTTGGAACAATGTTTTGTGGTTTTCAGAGTAAAACTTTTATACTTTCAAAGAAAATTCCCAGATTTTTTTTCCTTTTGATGCTATTGTAAATGGAATTACTTTCTTAATTTCATGTTCAGATTATTCTTTGAAAGTATATAGAATATAATTGTAGTTTTAAAAAAAGTGATCTGTATCCCATAGTCTTTTTTGGGAGGGGGTCTTTTTGAGACAAGGTCTCGCTATGAAGTTCAGGCTGACCTTGAGCTCATTTTGTAGCTGAGGCTGGTCTTGAACTCTAAACAATCCTCCTGCCTCAGCCTCACCAACTGCTGGGATTATACGCGTGCACCACCACGCTCGGCTCCCATAGTCTTTCTAAATTCATTCATTTATTTTAGTGTATTCTTCATGCAAAATCATGTTTTCTATGAATAGAGATATTTCTTCCTTTCCAATTTGGTGTCATTCCAATTTTTTTCATCAGGATTGCCCTGATGAGCACATTTAGTGTAGTGTTTACCGGTAGTGGTAAGAGCAGACACCTTGTCTTGTTCCTGATGTTGGGAGAAAGCATCTAGCTGACTATTAATCCTGAAATTTGATATTTCTTCTGCAGTTTTCTTACTTTGTCAGATTGAAGACGCCCTTCTATTCCTTGCTTGTTTGTTTGTTTTTGACAGGGTCTTGCTGTTTAGTCCAGGCTGGCTTCAAATTTGTGACAGTTCTGCCACAGCCTCCCAAGTGGTGGGGTTGTAGACATGCTCCACCATCCCCAGCTATTCCTAGTTTTTTGAGACAGTCATGCATTTTTTGTTTTTTCTTCTGTTGATATAATACATTGTATTACTTGATCTCTAGATCTTAAACTAACCTTGTGTCCCTGCATAAGTTCTACTTTATCACATTATATAATTACTTTAATTTGTTGCTTGGTTTGTTCGATATTATTGTGTTGAGGATTTGTCTTTCATACACAATATGTGCTAGTCTGTAGATGCCTCTTGTGAGTTCCTTGATTCTGGTACCATGGTAACGCTGACCTCATAAAATGATTGAGATGTGTTGCCTCTCTAATACTTGCAAGAGTTTATATAAAGTTAATATTTGTTTATTAAATGTCAGAAGTTAGCAATGAAGCCATTTTGGCTCAGATTTTCTTTGTATTTTTGGATTACTAATTAAATGTCTTCACTTGATATATATATATATTTATTTAGATTGCATATTCTTAAGTCAGTTTGAATAGTTTATAACTTGTTAAGGATTTATCCATTCATTTACTACTAATCTAGCTTACTTTAGTGCCTGTTACCTAATATTAGTATACTCACTTCCTCTTTCTTGTGATTGTTTGCATACTTTTCATCCTTTTACTTTCAGTTTGTAACTTTGAATCTAAAGTGCGTCTCTTGTAGACACACACACAAATATCTTTTATGTATAATTATCAGAACTATTGATAAAAATATGAAATTCATCTCATCATAGACCAATAAGATATTCCATAAACTGTGTTCTAGTCTATCTTTAAAACCTAGTTTATTTTTACTAAGCTTTGGAGAAAAATGTTTGAGTGAGCCTAATTTTCATTGCATTTAAAGTTTCTGTTTCCTGATGACCGAACAGTACGTATTTCTTTCCCTTAGTTTCGTGCGCTTGTACGTCACAAATCAATTAAAATGGTAATCGAACAATGGATTTTATTCCATTGACATAATGGTTATAATAATTTAATTTTATAAAGTTATCATCTGACGTAGAGAATTGAGTGCTAATATAATTATAATCTTTTAGTTTAATTTATGTCATTCAAAGATTTTTCTCTTATAAGTAGAGTAATATTTTTATATTGGTGTTTTATTGCCATTTAAAAGTCTGCTCTACTTGGGATATTGATCAGGGCTTTACAGCTATAATAGAGTATAATTATCAAACGGATAGCCCTTAGCCAGTTTAATTAATTGACTAGCTTGTAATTAGTGCAAGCTAGTCTAAGTTTCCAATCCAGTTTCTAATCAGCTTCAAGTTATATTTCTTATATCTTTTTTATTTCTTATAAAAAAAAATCTCAAACTGAAAAGGGAACATTAAATACTCTCTTAAGTACAAGGCGAAAAGGATTCCATAATGTAATAAAACAAACAAAAAATTCTTGTTTTCCAGTGTTTAGTTTGCTTTTGTGTAGTTCTTTAGGGATTTATAATATGCTTTTCTGAGTTATGAAAAAGTACAGAGCAGAAATTTTTAAGATGCCCTAAATCCTTTTGCGCTGTGTATAAGGGTTTCATTGTCCAAAAAGCATCCTTTAAGAATAGCGTTTAAAATATGGATTTGACACATTGGTACATGAATTGCAGTTGAAGCAACTCCATTGCTGACTTTGGTTAGTCTTTCTAGGGATTACTGGTCTTAGGCGTAATTGCCTATGACAATAGGAGAAAGCTAGCACATTCCTTTAGACTTCTGGAAGAAGTTCCTGCCAGTGCAAGGTAGACAGTTTTATATTTTTATCAGCGTAGCAGATTCTGTGCCGCCCTGATAGGAATCGCATGCACAGCCTCATTCATGCTGATAGGAATGTTCGTATCTACGTTATTTTTTTTTCCAGAAAAATTGCATATGTTACCCTTACATAGTTCTTTCATAAACAGTGGAAATTTACCCATGAAACATCTCCTTCAACCCTAGTTTCTTTTGGTAATTATCTATGAGATTCTTAAATGGGTGTTAAAACAATTACTGTTTTTGCATGAGTATTGACTTAGGGCTAGTGCTTATTGAAAAACATGATAATCTTCAGGTGTCTTATAGTTACTTTGACAAATTTATGAGGTGGCATGATCTTAAGGAAAACTTTGTAAACATCTCCAGGAATAGAAGCATATATAACAGGTGACCGCTAGGTGTGATGGAAATTCGTGATCTAGAGGTCTTCTGCATGCTCCCCTACCAAGCAGCTGAGTAATCTTGGGCCTGTGATTTTTTTCTTCTGTATCTTGAGTATGTTGCTATTTTCGTCCGATCCCTAAAGTCTAGCATAGTTGGAAATTTTCATGGCATTTTCCTATTTTTAAATATGTTTATTATGTATATAAGAAAATCTTATTAAATTCAAAAAAAAGATAAACATTTAAATTTGAGTTAGTACTTACCTTATTTGTTCTCACTTTATTCACGTCTTCTAGTGTTTTCCATTATGATTACTAGAGCCACAAGCATTAAGTCCAAGTAGAAGAGTAATGAATTTGGTTATGTGGGTTAATGTCGTTAAGGTTTTGTATGTGTATCTTGAGAGTTTGTTATTTGGCCATGCTTATATGGATACATCTCATAAGGCTAAATGTTCAAACCCAGCCTTCCTGATTAAATGTATTGTGACAGTATATACCACCTACTAGTAAAATGTATTTGCTGAGATCATTTCTTGGAATTCTTAATAGAATATATGTAAGTTGACTTTTAGCTGAAGGAATAATGAAATAACCTAAAAGGATATAAGGGGAAGCACGTTAACATATACTTAACTCTGTGCAGTTGAGAATTAATGGTATAATGATATGGACTAAGAGTTGGTTTTGTTTTGTGAAAAGCCTCCTTTTCAGTAGTGTTTGTTTCATGTGCCTTTTAGTTTTTCAGTGCTTAGAAATGTAGGCTGTCAGGTCACATGAGTTGGAAAAGAATTACAGATAGAAATTTTAGAAACAACAGAAAAGCATATCGTCAAAGAAAGGATTTTAAAACTATCCAACTTTTGTAA